TGGCTTCAACCAAAAGATCTTGCGACATTTTGTTGGTGCTGTCCGCCCGCCCCATAACTCGCTCCTCATACTTGCGCACTGCTGATTCCAAGTCGCCCGGGTTTGCTCGAATGCAGAGGAAAAGGTCCAAGGCGTCTAGCATGGCAAGGTTTGCCCCTTCACCAGCAAACCACGACATGACGTGCATGGAATCTCCGATCAGGGTCAGCCCCGGTTGAGTCTCATAGTGCATTCCTAAGGGCATCCTGTACTGAGCCCTCGGGGTCCACTTGGGGTCCAAACAACGGATCACTTCTTTTAGGCGCTCATCCCAGTCGCTGTACACGCTCTCCAAGAGCATCGTCGTGGCTGTCTTGGGGTCTGTCCAGTCGATACCGCTTTCAGCCGCCCACTTCTCTGGCACCTTCAAACAGGGATAGACGCGAAGGCTCTCGTCTCCATTGCGCTGCATGAAAATGCCCTTGCCGTCACTGAGGGCAAACACAGTGCCTCGACCAATAAATTTGCCCAGCTCGGGGAATTTCTGGTCCAAATTTGAGATGCGACAGTCAATTACCGTGAGACCTGTATATACTGGCTTTGTGCTCGTCAACAACGATCGCACCTTCGACCATGTCCCATCGGCACCAACAATCAGATCGCCAATCGCAGAGGTACTGTGGTTCACGAAATGGACCTCATATCTTCCGTCGGCGTTTCGGACAATTTTGGAAACATGGTGATCCCACTTGAGATTCTGGGCGTCAACGGCATCGATCAGGATCTTTCTCAACTCCGAACGGTCGATCTCAGGGCGACCCTCGGCGTCAGGAGGCGCCTGGTGGAAGAGCCAGTCTTTGGCGTGTTTGTCCATGAATCTGTAGTCCTGGTCGTGATACCTGGCATATTTCTTGAAGCAAGTTTCGAGTCCAGCGACCTGAAGAGCACGTTGGCCTGAGTCGGGGTGCAGGTCGAGTGATCCTCCCTGGAATCGAGAACTGATGTTCGGTTCGCGCTCATAAAGAGTGAAAGGGATGGAGTGGTGTTGGAGGAGCGCGGCAAGAGTGAGACCGGAGGGGCCCGCGCCGATGATGATGATATGCTTCCCGGACATGTTGGAGGTGATTTGACAACTCCTCTTGTTTTATGATCTCATTTAGCCAAAGCTTTGTGTCGACGGTTTGATGAGGACCGCAACTTTATATTACGAGATTCTATGGCCGTCCAGGGGCATCCCGGTTGCTACGTCTCCGCAGCTTCGACTGAATCGCTGTCGCCGAATGTTCATATCTCAAAAAGCCTCGTCCTCGGCCTCTGACTCGGCTGCCACAGGGGTGCATCGAGACCAGCGGATAAAGCCGACCAGAACAGCTCGGACATTTCACAGGCAACATGAAAATACCGATCATCGAAAAACCGAATAACGTCTCGTGAGCCCCTCGACCCATCGGCCGAGTCAAAGCAAAACCGTTGTATGTCTCGGAGTACACCATCTGGCAATGCGACAAGTTCTATAGCTCTGCATCCTTCTCTGGCGAAACAAGAATTTTGTTGATCTACCGAGGGACTCCATCACCATTTTGAGGTTTGGTGAAGGGTCAAAACTCTCGAAAGCATGTCACCACTCAGCAACAGACAAGATGAATACGGCGGAAACTCTGTATTCACGATATTGTTTTGTTTCTGTCCTAGCAAGAGGAACAGTCTTTCACAGAGTGTCTCCGACTGCGCACCTGATAGCTCGGGCAACCTCTTCAGTGCAGCTAAGAGTGGGAAAGTGTCCTGCTTGACAAGTGTGCACATCAACCTTTTGACCGCTCTCCTCCTCGATGCGGTTGATTATAGACTCTTGAACCTGCATTGGCACTGCCTGGTCTTCCTTGCACACCAGGTACGACACCGGAATATTCTGATAGCCCGGATGAGTGAGTAGGCCTGTGAAGCTGACCGTCGAGTGCGGGAGCATTGTTTTGGCCAACTCGACTCCCTTTGCGAGAGGAAGATCCGAGAAATTCGTTCGAGCACAACCCACTGCTTCAGTCAACATGTAATCGCCCTGCAACACAGAGTTAGGAACACCTATCCTAGTCTGACAGATCGTGAGACACTCACTTCGACTCTGATGAATTCAGGCATGTTGTCACCCATCTGCGTGGCAATTGAACCCCCCACTCCCGGCACTGGGGAGCTGATATAGAACAGCCTCACGATGCCTCCTTTCATTTTGGACGGTGTGCGTTCAGCCTTCGTCACACCCTTGGTACTCTCGGTCCCGCATATACCTCCATATGAATGCATGACCAGCACAATTTCCTTGCCTTGGTCAGCCACCTTTGTCGCGAGAGACCTGATGTACTCTGCGTCATCGGCCATTGTGGCGGCTGGAAGTGGACTGCGATCGCCAACCGAATGGAGATCAACCACGACAGTCTCATAGCCGTGGCTGTTCAACGCTCTCTCCAGTCCACTGTATAGACTTGGTGGAGAGAATGAGGCAGGGACAACGACTATGACCGGCTTTGTAGTCTCTGGCTTGTTGGCGGTGGACATCTCGACTTGGGTTGAGATGTCGTTGCACCTATCTCGATGTGCTTGGGCAACAAGGTCGTAAAGACGCGGGTGCAGAACTTCCTAAGCAACAGGGTGCTCCGGTTGTGGAAAGATGGTGGCGAATTCGAGTGGATGGCAAGACTTGAAAGAACAATCCTTTCGTGATTCCAACTGAGAATGCCGACTACATGTTTTGCTTGCTGATGTCTCGGATTGTTGACTGTTTGAGGCCGAGATGGCGGACTCAAAATTCGGCCTCAACCTTCCGACTCGATCTCGGTCTTTTCAAAGTGCTCCCGCATCTCCCGAAGACATGAGGTCGGAGAATTGCAAATATTTCGACCACCGAGCTGAGATCGGTCTCGACAGCAAGCATGCTGGGCTCCTCTTGAGGCAGTGTTCTACCATACGAATCCACTGCAATTCCGCTTACGAAGCCAAAGAGCTCCCCGGATTGTTTAAAAGAAAGTCACAACCCCAGTTGTGAGTTTTCTCCGCAGAATCTCAACCCAGCTTTTCTCCACATTGAGCCTCTACCCCCCGGTGCTCCTTCATTACCCTCGGTCGTCGTTCTCTGTTGCACCATGGCGTTATCCCAGGATGCGCCGTTCACTGCGTCAGTTCTTGCTTCCTTTGGCCCCGCTGCTCCCGCACGGGCCAAGGAGATCTTAACATCGCTGATCCGTCACCTCCATGCCGTGTGTCGGGAGGTCAATCTCACAACCGAAGAGCTGTATATCGGACTGGACGCTCTCAACCGCTCGGGACGCATGAGTGATGCGAAACGAAATGAGACACTGCTCATATCCGATTGTCTCGGCGTGGAAGCGTAAGCAACCTCACAGCATCATGGTGTGCGACCTCTCTTTTCAGGACGTTGTCTGACCTCTCAAAAAGTCTAGTGGACGAAATCACGCACAGGATCCTCGCAGAAGAGGCGTCTACCAATTCTTGCATCCTGGGTCCTTTTTATCGAGCTGACGCGCCTGCCTATGAGAACGGCGACAGCATCATCCAGAAGTACCTCGGCGGCGAAGTTACTTGGTGTCACGGCCAGATTCTTGACGCCGATAGCGACAAGCCCATTGCTGGTAAGTCATCAACCACGAAGGCCATCGCTGTTTGGACGTTAGAACCAACGATATACCACACAGGCGCGAAACTGAACGTGTGGGAATGCGCGGCCAATGGATTGTACGATCAACAGGATCCAGAGCAACCTGACGGAAACATGCGTGGGATATTCACTTCAGACCACGACGGTCGGTACGGCTTCTACTGCATCAAACCGGTTCCCTACCCGGTGCCGTATGACGGGCCTGCAGGCGATATTCTGAAGCTGATGGACCGTTCGCCGTTCCGGGCCGCACACATTCATTTCATGGTCGAGAGCGAATCCCACCGTCGGCTCGTGACACAAGTGTTCCCCAGCGACGATGCGTATCTTGATCGTGACTCTGTATACGCTGTCAAAGATGACCTGATTATTCGGTTCGAGCCTGCGGGTTCAGAGGCACAGAAGGGACGGGGTGGGCGTGGTCTGCAGAGCGATGTCAAGTGGGAGGTGAAATACGACTTTCGCATCAAGAAACGATGATATTGAGGAAGTCTACTCCACAAAGTCATCGGCGACATTTAATAGTCTGTAGACAGAATTCTCCCAGACCAAGAAAAATCCCTGGTTAAAGCTGTTGTTTGTTAGTGGTGCAAGTGAGGACCGCCCGGCCCGGTCAGCCTTGCTCCTGAACGCCGCAGCCTTGTTCGTGGCTCGGCAATTTCGGACAATTGCAGGAAATGTCCGAATAAGCCGACAAGGTTTCGTTTCTCTACCACAACATCCTCCTGTTCTCTGAGTCACGATCGAACTGCGGCAGGAGAGCATGTGGTCGATGTGCGTCTGTCACCTTGAAGCACACGTCGTTGGAATGCCACAGTTTCCACACGTTGTGTGAGAGAGACAAAGGATCCGTGCCTGGACTGAATCAATCTCCTCGACTTCCTCTCCAACGTTTCACGAACGACCTCTCCTCGTGCGATAGCGTTGGACTGAACTTTGCTCTGCCACCTCCCCACGGGACCATAACTTCCCCTGCATACCATTGACGATTATTCGATAGTGAAGCAAGCCTTCGGGGGGTAGTGACACCTTGCCTCCAAAGATCATGGAACACCAAGGTGTCGCAGCATCAACAACACCGCACTCGACAATAGTGACAAAGGCCAAGAAACGGCGGCGTCCAGCTCTGGCTTGCATCGCCTGCCACCAACGGAAATTAAAATGCGGTCGTGAATTTCCCGCTTGCGAGAGGTGCAGAAAGAGCGGGTACCCAGAAGGCTGTGTATACCGTGAAAACCACCTGGTTCCGACTCCTGTCGGCGCAGGAAGACGCGCAGCTCGGGTGAGTACCGTCAGTGACTCGACTGCGTCGGATACCGCTACTCAAGAGAGTCTTTCGAGGCGTTTTCAAAACATGGAAACAAGGGCGACATTGCCCTCGCCCGCGCAGTCATCCCACGGACCAACGCGAGAAGTAGAGCAGGCTGAGCAGCTGCCGCTCCAAGAGATGACCATCTACAAAGGCGAGGATCTTCTCACCCGGTTTTACGGGCATAGTTACCACCGTAATTGGTATCAGCAGGTATCTCTTTCCTCACAAAATCACTCCTACTCGGCGAGCTCATGCTAAACCCCTCTGTTTTGTCATTGTGCCAAACCAGTTTGATCAGCTTCGACCGTACATCCAGCGCCTCAAAGCGCAGTGCCCCAGCATCAACATGCTGCGAGACGAGATTCAGGTCTTGAAAGCCAACGGGCACAAATTGGAAAGTCGACACAGTGGCGGCGCAGCGGACGCACCATGCGATTCTGAAATCAAGAGTCTGATTCCTGCTCGAGAATTGGCTGATGGGTTGATCAACCTGTATTTGACTCGGTTTGAAACCACGCACCGTGTTTTCCACATCCCGTCTTTCATCGACGAGTACCACAAGCATTGGACCAACCCACAGAGCACACGGACAATCTCTGCAATTCAGTTCTTGCTGGCAATGACAACAGCGCTAAGTTGCCGCGAGATTCTGGACTGCGAACTCCGAATCCGAGCTAAAGATGCTATCTCGCGCGAAACCGCCACAGCATGGATCCAAGCTTGCGAATCATGGGTGTCGCGAGAGACCACAAGAGCGCCCTCTCGCCATCTGACTATGTTGGCAACTCAGTGTCTTCTGGTCATCGCAAAGCGAGCAAACCACATACAAGCAAACGAAACCTGGACGACGACAGGCGCCCTGTTACGATCGGCCATGGCGGCCGGATACCACAGGGAACCGGACAGTCGAGCCCACATTTCCGTTTTCCACCGCGAGATGCGTCGTCGGCTCTGGGCCACCGTTGTCGAGCTCGATCTGCAAGCGACCATAGAACGAGGGATGCCGCCGAGCCTGCGCGAGGAGGATTTCACCTCCAAACCTCCTTTGAATATCGACGACGACGCCATTTCCGAGTCGGTACAAGAACCTCCAACTCCGAGTGCATTGGATGCTCTCACAGACACGTCTTTCCAAACACTGGCTTATCGCTCGATAGGTCCACGACTGCGGATTTGCGCCCTGGTCAACAACAGTCATCACAAACCGTTAGAGGTGCTCTTCGACGAGGCGATCTCCTTGGACGAGGACATCACCAAGGCACTCACAACGATTCCAACAGACTGGGCCAGCGCGCCTACGAGGCGTGATGACTGGAGCACCCAAAGAGCCTTCTACATCAAGTACATGTTGGACATGTTACTCCAGCAGCAGCTGGTATTGCTGCATATGCCCTTTGCGAATGCCAATCGCAGCACGCAGCCCAACCGATTCGGCCATTCACGTCGAGCGAGGCTCGAGGCCGCGACGAGTATCCTCAATTCTTTCAGGTTGCTCGTGGACCTGGGTATTATACACCGCTCGGTCTGTGACAACCGCCAGTTCCACGCCGCCATGGCCATCTGCCACGAGCTGTACCTGCAGAATGGAGTTTTTGGTAAGTTTAAGTCGAGTCTCTCACTCCTAGCTGCGAGCCATGTTTCACACATATCCCTATACCCGCTGCTACATGGATCTGATCGATCAACAATCCAGGATCCATTTTCACACCCTTATCACCCGCCTCGAACCTCGCCGAATGCTACATTTCCATGGTGGAATCCGTGTTGTCAATGACCGAAACCCGAATTACCGTCCTGGCCAAAGGCCTGAACGAATACTACCTCCTAACCATGGTCCTCGGCCTCACCAAATCGAGATTGTGGAGCGATCGCGCCCCGTCCTTTGCCGCAGAGGCGGTTGAGCGCCTTACAAGGGTCATGATCATTCTGGGGTCTATGCGCAGGTCCAAGTCGACGTTGACAGCGACAACGACAGCGACATCGTCGTGGCATGGACCCAACGCCGGTACCGCCGCTGCTGCGACTGGAAATGGGAGTGTCTCCGAGTACGTGTTTCCCCTAGAGCAGATGCGGGAGTTCTTTGGTGGTTCAGATGTGTCCCGACTGACGTGCTGCGAGGTATAGCAGTGCCCCTGCCCAGGGACTCGGGGCGGGAGTGGGAGTAGGAGATGCTCCTATCACAATCTTCCCGGAAGTATCTTCTACGAGGAATGATGGAGACATGGAAATGGAAACGGAACTGGAAACGTTGGGTTCTCTCGTAAGTTTTCACGCACAAACATATTGTTTTTCAGTTGGTCAGCTCGTTGATTCAACATGTTATGTGGTTTTTGCTTGTGCTTCTGCTTGTACTCATCACTCATCGTTCAGTCATCGCTAATAAAAAAGGTGCAAACCCAGATCTCAAATAATTTCGATCTTTTTCAAGACGACGTCGACCTGGAGGCGTTTGATCTCTGGGCTCATGAAGACACCCGCAGGTTCTTTGGGAATGGTGACTTTGAGGATTATCCCGCCACGGGGGCCGTAGTTTAGTTGAGAGGCCTAAATTGTGTCAGAAGCAGGGGATCAAAATGTTGATCTGTGTATATACATATATATAATAATTAAATCCTGTTGACCACCCTAATTTGACAAATTGGGGACTATTAGTTATTGACTTTTCATTGGTCTCCTCTCATCTCCTCGTATGTAAAATACATGGCAAAGCCCAGGGCGTGGCAATGACAAGCAAGGCATAGACCTGGCTCTCCGTACAGGCCAGCAGACCAGACTAGGAGACAGTACAGAGCCACTACTCGTCTTAAATCATTCGACTCCCAAAAAAGGGGAAGTGGGCGAGCGAGTGGCCCGGCCATGACCACACAACTACTCACAGGGCTCCCAGAGCTCACAGAGCTCACAGAGTAGAGTCAAGGATCTCCCAATGTACCTCGTACTGACTGCTACTGAGCTGGCGGCCACCCGCCAATGGTGACTCTGAACAGCGCCGGATCCGCCTCAATCTCCGCCTTGCGGGCCACCAGCTCCTCGACGTCCCAATTCGCCCCGACAACTCTCCCGGACTTGAGAAAGTCGGCTTCGGGGCTGGCGAGCCAGACTGTGAAGTGTGCGGGGAGTTCGAGGCCTTCGGTGGAGGAGGAGTCACCGGGGTAGAGCGTATAGACGCGGAGTTTGGGGTTCTCCTCTGCGAGGTACTCGTCGAGCTTTGCCGCCGCCAACTGGGAGGCCAGATACGCCGAGTTTTTGGGAGATTGCGAGGCTCTCAGGTGGCATGCGGCTGCGTTGACGTCGATGTACGTCGCGTTGGCGCGGCACTTTGGGAGGAAGTGCTTTGCGAAATGGGCGGAGAACTTGACGTTGATCTCAAACGCTTGCCACCAGTCGTCTTCATCCGCTCCGGCGAGGGTGGTCGCGGTTGGCGAGTACCTCCACGGCAACGTCAGCATGATGCTTAATATCCGAGAGAAAAGCGTATCACACAAAGGGGTGGGGGGAGCATACCCTGCACAATTTACAAACACGTCCCAGGCCCCCAAATCAGATCGGATGGTGTGTGCCGCAAGGCCGACTTCGTTGGCTTTGGAGAGGTTCGCGGGAGTCACCAGGACCGTCACGTCCGGGAACGATTGATTAATGGCCGTCTTTGTCTTCTCGAGAGTCTCCTCCGTGGTCCCTATCAGTGCGATTTTCCGGCCGCCGGCTTTTGCAAATGACAGGGCAACAGCAGCAACGAGGCTTTCTTCCCCCGCGCCCGCCACTACCACCGTCTTGTCCTTTGTCGACAACTCGGGTCTTGAGGGCTCAATGGCCGGGTAAGTGGTTTTGCGGTAGACCTTGGTGAAACAGGGGGATGCCATCACAGCCTTTTAGTTCGAAGCGACTGACGAGTTCAAGGACTGTCTTGTCAATGGACAAGCTCAGGACCGTGGAAATACTTCCTCTCGAGTGTGTACTTGTGCCAATGGAGCGTGGGAAGCAGCCGTCTTGTAATCCAGCCTCCTCATACGCGAGGCCGCAGAACAAAGTAGTCAATGCGCGACGGCGTCTACTTGAAGCTCAATGCGCACCTCACTCAATGTCACTGAAAATTGCCCAGCTTGAGGACAGTTGCTTGTGGCCTTGACTCGGCAAGATAGCGAAAGTCGTGCTTTGCAACCTTTAATGTCACAGCTTGGTGTGGACAGTGGGTGAATTTTGTCAGGAATATAGGAGGTCAAGCAATAGTACCTACTGTAGGTCGTCCAGTCTTTGAGGACTTGTGTTATGTACTGAGTACCCAAAAAAAAATGATGGAGAAAGAGAAATTCACCCCTCAGCGGCTACCGTCGGTTATGTATTGGGTCCCGCCGCCGCAGCGAATACCATACATCACCTCATTTTGTATGAAAAGTTCACCATAAATAGAAGAATGTTTCTTACAACGTCCCTACAAGCAACAATCTCCCTACAAGTCCAATAATACCACCCCCCCCCCCTCATACACCCACCAAACACAAATAATGGCCTCAGTCACCGGCGACCGGCTGCTCGCCCAAGGCACGCACGAGTCCGCGCTCGAACTCATCGGGCAGACGCCCCTCGTGCGCCTGAACAAGATCCCGCAGTCTCTCGGCATCGAAGCCACCGTCTACGCCAAATGCGAATATTTCAACGCCGGAGGAAGCGTCAAGGATAGGATCGCCCTGCGCATGATTGAAGAGGCCGAGAAGTCGGGCAGAATAAAACCGGGGGACACGCTCATCGAGCCTACCAGTGGCAACACGTAAGGGATGCACCAGGCAAAACTCGAAAGAACAATGACCTTGCAGAACGGAGGAGCTAACAAGATGGACCATCTGTGATTGCATAGTGGTATCGGACTCGCCCTCGTCGCCGCTCTCAAGGGCTACAAGACCATCATCACCCTCCCGGAAAAGATGTCTGCCGAGAAAGTCGCCGTCCTCAAAGCCCTCAACGCAACCATCATCCGCACCCCCACACAAGCCGCCTTCGACAGCCCTGAATCACACATTGGAGTTGCCAAACGGTTGGAGAAGGAGATACCCAATGCCCATATATTGGACCAGTACGGGAACCCCGACAATCCGTTGGCGCATGAGCTGGGAACGGCGGAAGAGGTCTGGCAGCAGACAAATGGTACTATAACATGCATCGTCGCCGGCGCCGGCACGGGTGGCACAATCACAGGTCTCGCCCGCGGTCTACACAAGCACAACAAGTCAATAAAGGTCGTCGCTGCAGATCCCCAGGGCTCGATACTCGCTCTCCCGCCGTCCCTCAACGAGGAATACGCCAACCAACCTTACAAAGTCGAGGGGATCGGCTATGACTTCATCCCGGACGTCCTCGACCAGAGTGTCGTGGACAAATGGTACAAGACGGACGACAGAGATTCCTTCCACTATGCACGCCGTCTCATTTCCGAAGAAGGGCTGCTGGTCGGAGGGAGCTCTGGGTCTGCCATCGCAGCCACGATCCAAGCCGCAAGAGATCTCAAGCTTGGGAAGGACGATGTGATCGTGACAATCCTCCCAGATAGCATCCGCTCGTACTTGAGCAAATTCGTCGACGACGACTGGCTCGCCGCCAACAACCTCTTACCTCCAACACCACCGCCTGAACCATCATCACCCCAACTCTCGAGAACCCAGAGCGTCAAGCAAGACGACACATTCCACGGCGCTCGCGTACGCCACCTGCGCCTCAAACCCGTCCAGACGGTCACTTCGGACAGTCCCTGCTCCAGCGCCATCGAAGTCATGCGCGAAAAGGGCTTCGACCAACTCCCTGTCCTGGCACCCAAGGGATCCAGGAGACTAGTCGGCCTCGTCACCTTGGGCAACCTGCTGTCACGGATAAGCCACGGGCGGGCCACGGGACAGAGCCCCGTGAGCGACGTCATGTTCGACTTCTCCAAAATCAGCGAGGTCACCGTCGACCACACAGATTTCTCCGAGCTGATGACCACCTCCGCGGACGAAGACTCGGAGCCGCAGAAGCCGTCGGCCGCAAAACCCAGGGGCAAAGGCAAGCGGAAGCACTTTGTCGAGATCACCGTGGACACGCCCCTGAGCGCGTTGAACAGATTCTTCGAGTGGCAGAGTGCGGCCATCGTCACCGAGCGCGAGTCAAGCGACAAGGGCGGCGCTCTCAAGCCGGTGGCGGTGGTCACCAAAGTAGATCTGCTTACTTGGATGTTGAGCGAGCACAAGCCGTAGTTCTCTCGAGGTTACGGAAGCCATATTTCACGAGATATTGGGATCAGATTCAACAGGGTCATCGGATCAAAAAGGATAGGACGGGATGGGATTGCCTTGCAAGAGTGCAATGTTGGGAATATTCAACACGAGCCCATCTGTGGTGGCGATGCACATTGCATGGACAGGAGTGACAAGGATCAGAACAAACTCCACAATGACTCAGGAGCGATTGAGATTTCATGTATTTACACGATAAAACCCACGTCCGCAAGGACAATTTACCCATGACGACGCTACAAGACTTACCTCCCCGAGTGGAGTGCAGTGCCTGCTTCGTCGATTAAAATCATCATCAGGACAGGGACAAGCCCACCACCGGTAGAAAACAATATAGAAAAGGGGATAGGATATCGGATATGGGCGCAGAGACGGAAACGAGCCAGAACATCGTGGCTGTATGACAAGACAAAGACGGCGCATGGGGGAAGTTAACACGTGTCGTGCCGACGATGTTGTAGTGTTGGAACGCCGAAGAGCGAGTTCGTAGGAGATGGATCGTGCGGATGAGGCGGAAGGGTAGGATGGAGGAATTGCGCAAGGGGATACGTGGTGGAATTGCGAGAATGGGAATTACGACGGCGGAGGCGGGGACGAGAGAAAGCGAGGCCGAGGAGGCGCTGCATCGCCGCGGACGAAAAGGAACGAGTCTGATGGCTAGAGCTGCTGTAACGTTTCGAAGAGGAATAGGAAAGGGGGGAACGGCGGCACATGGTGTCAAGATAGGTATCGTCCGATTTTCCGTATCGACGCCTCGATCGAATACTTCGTAGGCTACCGAGGACAACGGTTGACGACCGATAAGTCAGCTGTTGTACAGAATTGAGCCCGCACCGTTCGCTCGAAGTCGATCTAATCCCGTGTCAAGTCAATTTGAACCACCGCTCACTGCTATGCCTGAGACTCTCAGGTCATGCAAGCTCTGCAATTGAATCATCATAACAATGTCAAGGGCGAGAAAAAATCTGAAGGAAACCTAGCACATTCTTGCCCTTTATGATCACAGGAGGTTGTGATCTTGCCCATCTCAAGGATTCTGCTTGTTTGTTCGTTTGCAATAAAGCACGCTGGACTTGGCACCAGGTGGGTGGTGGCACATCACGCTGCCTTCTCATTCCGCGGTATCGAGTTCATCGTGGGCCGGAGGAGGGGAATCCACAGCTGATACGGGTGTCAGCAGATCAAATCCAGGCTGCATCTGTGTCGAGTTCCATCATACCTTTCCGGTCATCGCCATTTGCAGCAACGTCACGGTCATCGTCGCGTCGGTCTCGGTCATCTTTCATCTCCCGGTCGCGGTCTCGATCGCGCTCACGGTCCGCAGGGCTGCGCGAGCGGCGTCGGTCATCGTAGTCTCGGTCCCGGTCTCTTTCCCGATCTCGGTCGCGGTCGCGGCGATCGTCCTTGCGAGGAGAATAGTCGCGGCGTCGAGGAGAGGGAGAACGAGCTGAGCGGCGTGGAGGAGAGCGCTCACGACGGCCTCGACCAGCTTCGTAGCGCCAGGTAGCAGAAGGGGGGGTGCGGGCCCACTACAAGTTGAGTAGTCAGATAATGTGTTTGGCAAGGCGGTGAGAGTGAGAGTTGTCCTTCCATACCTCAATCTTCAAGACGTCATCACGACCAATTCGCTTGTTATGCATCTCGTGATAGGCGTCGTCAGCATCGCGACGACTCTCGTATTCGACGAAGGCGAAGCTGCTCAGGTGTCAATTTGCGTCAGCGGCAGGGGTCGGTGTTCAGTACTTACAGACGGCTTGATGCAGTTCTGGGGGCAGGAATGTCACATCTAACCAGACGACCATAGTGTTCGAACTCATAGGCAAGATCACGGGCGCGGGTGCCATGACCAAAACCCGTGACATACAGGGTAGTGCCAGATCGAGACATGGTCACGATGGAAAGGTGAAAGGGGCCAGGTGGCAAGCTGCTCGATCGTGGTCGATGTTGTTTCGCGCTGGTCACCAAGCGTCTGAACTCTAGCCGCGAATGACTGTTAATACAATCTCTGGTTGGCAGAGTGAATGCAACAGATGATGGACAAGGCAGAAGGGAGGATCGGATGGATGGAAACTGGAGGAAAGAAGGCAGAAGTTGTTTGACAGATGGAGCTGCGTTTGCGTTTGCCTCATTTTTAGATCAAACGGGGCTAAACTGAAAACAGAAAATTGAGCTTGGCATAGCCCAGCCAGTCACTGCCACGGCTAAGTCATCATGGAAAGCCGCTGTCAGAGGCCTGGAAGGGTCACGCTGGTCTACTCGCCTGCGATTTGTACAGGGGAGGACAGACTTTATCACTCTACGAGCTGGCATATGCTGTTACCACACGTCTCTTGCTTCTATTCCTTCATTTTACCTTTTCCACGTTCTTAGATTCACCTGGTTGACAGAGTCTTTCCCACCTCGACTTCTCCACTCGATCAACTTCCCTTTCTAATCGCGCGATCCTCTTTGCCGACTTGTCCCGTTTCCGATCCCCCCATATCGCTCTTCTTCAACCCTATCAGCTCGAGTGGATGATACAACAAGCTTGCTTCGTGGTGAAGCATTGTTCTTGAACTCTACACGACATCTGTCTGGAGCTGGTGGGAAGAGACGCTTCACGGACACAGGATGTTCTCTTACACCACCCGAACCCCGTGAAGAATTTTCCATGGACGCCACAGCCGCCTTCGACCCCAGAATTCTACTTGCTGTGACGCCTGCACGCCTGCAACCGTCTCGGTTGACACTGAATTCCCCGCTTCCCTCGTCAACCTCCCATCAGAGTCATGCGTCTCGGAGAGAAGGACCCTGTTACTGTCAACGGTAACGTCGACCAGAGCTCGACCTCTCTACGGGACCTACCAAGTATACCGGAGGTCAGTGCTGTCGCGTCCAAAGATCGAATGAGCCCGGCCCTAACCTATATAGAATCCTACTACCATGGCGACATCTGATTTCGTCCTCTCGCTACGAGAGTTTTTCTCGACACCCTTCACAGCCGCTTTCTGTGCCGGTGGCGTGGCAGGCGCTGTCTCCCGCACCGTTGTCTCGCCGTTAGAACGCTTAAAGATTTTGTACCAGGTCCAAAGCGCCGGTCGTAACGAATATAAGATGTCCATTGCCAAAGCTCTTAAAAAGATGTATACGGATGAGGGCTGGAGGGGTTTCATGAGGGGGAACGGTACGAATTGCATACGCATAATACCCTACTCGGCTGTGCAGTTCGGCAGCTATAACATCTATAAGCGCTTCGCTGAACCTTCACCTGGCGCCGATCTCGACCCCATTCGCCGACTCATCTGCGGTGGTCTCGCCGGTATCACCTCTGTCACATTCACCTACCCTCTAGATATTGTTCGAACCCGCTTGTCTATCCAGTCAGCTTCATTCGCCGCGCTTGGAAAGCACGAAGGGAAGTTGCCAGGCATGTGGCAGGTCATGGTTATGATGTACAAAACTGAGGGCGGTATTCTGGGTCTCTACCGAGGCATCATTCCCACCGTTGCCGGTGTCGCTCCCTACGTTGGCCTCAACTTCATGGTCTACGAATCAGTCAGGAAATATTTCACGGAACCAGGTGAGAAAAACCCTGTCTGGTATCGAAAACTTGCCGCAGGCGCCATCGCGGGAGCAGTCGCGCAGACTTGCACATATCCGTTTGATGTCCTCCGGAGGCGCTTCCAAATCAACGCCATGAGCGGAATGGGATATCAATACAAATCAATATGGGATGCCGTCAGAACTATCATCGCACAGGAGGGCGTTCTTGGGCTTTACAAGGGTATTATGCCTAATCTGCTCAAGGTCGCTCCGAGCATGGCAAGCAGCTGGCTCAGCTTTGAGGTTACAAGAGATTTCTTGGTGGCTCTGGCTCCAGAAAAGGAAAATGGAGACCCTGTTTGAAAGTGTCAAAGTCAAACTAAGATATATGGCACTTTCAACCCCCACAAACCGTCAGAAACCGCTATACATCTCTCCACCGACCGACTCGAAACCAAGTGAAGCCCGGGACAAAATATCGCCTGTGTGAAGGGAAGGGAATGAAATGATACCATCATCGATCGTTCTTACTCTCACAGAAGAGAAGACCTGCGCCGCTTTTGTAAGGGCTGCTGTATATTCCACATAAATGGGGGGCATGGCGAAATTTACGGTGTCAAAAGGTCGAGGGAAACCGAATTAGAGAGACCTGGGGCGAGGCATTTTCTGGAGTATTAAGACAAGCTTATGACTTTGGTCTCTGATGGACTTGAAGTTTGAGCATCATTTTTCTGAGTAGATCGAATTGAATATTGAATTGGTCGCTCTTATAACGATAGTCTTGACCCGCTGAAATTTTTTCCGGAAGTTCGCCTTTATCATGACGACGTAGTCATTACCAACTTCGTGGCGAGCCGGTGTGATTGAAGAATAGCAGTCGAACTCGAATAGTAAGGCTGGCCACAACAGTTCTTGACTTATTGGCATTGATACTGTATGCTCCCTATGTCACGTGATCTATGCAAAGGCTTTTGAGTGCCGAAATAGTTTAGCGTGCAGAAATCTTGGCACGCCGCACAGCGTTCGCACCCGCTAGTTTCTCACGTCGACCAAATTTACAGATTGACCTTCTGAGGACGTCGCCGACCCTTTCTCGTTCAACAAAATCCACCACAGCCAGCGATCATGGGTATGTACCATTCAGCAGTGGTTTCTGCTTCATTGTACGACTGACATCTGTTTCCAGGTATCGACCTCGATCGCCATCACGTCAAGGCAAGCCACCGAAAGGCGCCCAAGAGCGACAATGTCTACCTCAAGCTCTTGGTGAAGCTTTACCGCTTCCTGGCCCGTAAGTTGAAAGACTGAGCAATCTGAAGAGGTGAGCCATCATTGACAGACAATCACAGGCCGAACCGATTCCAACTTCAACAAGGTCGTGCTCAAGCGCCTGTTCATGTCCCGCATCAACCGCCCTCCCATGTCCATCTCCCGCATCGCCAGCAAGGTTTCGACCGAGACGGCGCAAAAGGCATACAAGGACAAGACCATTGCCGTCATTGGCACCGTCACCGATGACAACCGCCTGCTCACCGTGCCTGAACTACACATCGCCGCGCTGCGGTTCACTGCGACTGCCCGCGCCCGAATTGAGAAGGCCGGCGGTGAGTGCCTTACTCTCGACCAACTCGCTCTGAGACACCCTACTGGAAGTAATGTGGTGCTCCTGCGGGGACCCAAGAATGCCCGAGAGGCCGTCAAGCATTTCGGCTTTGGGCCGCACAAACACAAGAAGCCATATGTCGAGAGCAAGGGCAGGAAGTTCGAGAAGGCCAGAGGCAGGAGACGGTCCAAGGGTTTCAAGGTGTAGACGTGGCCTCCGTGTTGGCAGTCTGCTGGTGGTGGTTGTCATGGTGGGCTTCGTCGAGTAGGATTCCGGGGCCGATGAGTGGATGACGGGAAGGTCACGAAACTTTCTTCGAGCGCACCTGATGGGACGATGAAGATGGGACTCTACGAAATCGGAGCAAAGAACGAAATTCCAATAAGCGAGCTGCTCGATCGTCTCGATTTGTCCAGCGTCCTCCTTCAAGCAGAGACAAAAAGGTTCGTGCGAGCCGCCTGAGGCTATGAGGGGACGAAAAGATTCTACCTCACATGGTCGCTGTCAAATTTTCCAGACTAGGGGGACGCAAGACAAAAATTCCAATGCAATTGATTTCAAAACGAAAGACGACCTTTTCAATTCGGTTCTTGTGCATTTTTGATTCTTTTTCATTGGTATTCAGTCCAACTTTTTTATTGGAGTTGTGACAGTGACAACGCCAGCTCGTGTAAACCGTTAGTCAGTACAGTAGTGACCACTGGGATATCCTTGTTCCCTTCTTCCCATCTCATCATCGACGCCTCCCCTTTTGCATCGTTGTCATATCTCGATCTTCTCGTGCAGATACCTCCTCTGTCCTTCGCCTTCACCATACTCACCCGCGCCCTGACCCGTTCCCCGGAGCTTGTACTTGTAGATCGTCAAACCTTCCAGACCGACGGGTCCTCTCGAATGGATCTTGTTCGTGCTGATGCCGACCTCGGTGCCGAATCCGTACCGCATGCCGTCCGCGAAGCGGGTCGAGGCGTTCCAGTACACGCCGGCCGAGTCGACGGCGGACATGAATTTCTCGGCGGTGGCGGAGGAGCGTGTGATGATGGCGTCGGTGTGGTGCGACGAGTGTGTGTTGATGTGCGCGATGGCGCGGAGAAGTGATGCGTCGTTTGCTTCGTCTTGCACGTCGCCAGAGCCGTGTCCGTTCGGCAAAGTGGTGGAGGAAGACGTGCCGGCGGGCACGGTCTTGACAGCCATGATCAGGTCGAGGAACTCGGTCGTGAAGTCCGACTCAGTCGCATCTTGCAGCAGGGCTGCGTTCGCGGGACTCAGCACTTCGGTCAGTGCTTTCTTGCTTTGTTCGTCGCAGCGTAACCTCACGCCCTTCTTCTGTAGCTCTTCCACCACGCTGGGCAGCACTGTCTTCAACACCGCCTCGTGCACCAGTAGCGTCTCTGCCGCGTTGCACGCCGCTGGGTAGTCGCACTTGGAGTCGACTACCACCTTGACGGCCAGGTCCTTTTCGGCATCCTTGTGCAGGTACACGGCGCACAGACCATCGGCATGGCCTAGGACGGGAATCTTCGTGTGGCTCTTGACGTATCTGACCAGTTCGTTACCCCCTCTGGGGATAACGAGGTCAATGTACCGATCTAGGCCGAGAAGATCGTCGATCACGTCGCGAGTCTTGACCAGCTGGATCGCCGCCACGGGGACTTGGGTACTGGCCAGAGCGTCGCCGATGACTCTGGCGATGGCCTCGAAACTCGCGGCACTTTCCTTGCCGCCCTTGAGGATGGCCGCGTTGCCGGACTTGATGGCCAGGGCGGAGATGTTTGCGATGACCTCGGGCCGGGCCTCGAAGATGATGAGCAAGACGCCAATCGGGCACGAAACCCTCTCGAGCTCCAGGCCGCGGTCCAGCCTCGTCCGCAAGTCCACGTTGCCGACGGGGTCCGGGAGGTCGCGCACGTCCAGGATCCCCTTCAACATGTCCTCGTACTTGCCCTTGCGGCCCAAATCGAGCCGCTTCAGCACCGCCTGGCTCAGCTCCCCCTGCGACGAGGCCTCCTGTGCGAGCGCCATGTCGCGCGCGTTGGCCGCCAGGATCTCGGCCTTGTGCTGGGTCAGCGCGGCGTGGATGGCCGTCAAGGCGTCATTGCGCGCCGACAGCGGCAGGATGCACAGCGTGTGCGAGGCGAGCGAGGCGGATTGCGCACAAGACACGGGGCTTGAGCTCGTGAGCGACATGGTTCTTTTTGGGTGTTTTTATGGTTACGAGCCCTGGATTTTTCTCCCTCTCCCTCTCTCTCTTCCCCGGTGCGTTGAACCGGGTTTAGTCCTTTGACCGTCTCCCAAGACTGACTTAGATTTTCACTTGTTGTTGAATATTCTCGTATTGCCTCCTGAGTGCCTGAGACAAATCCCCAGCAGAACCTTCCCCACTTTTGGTTTATGTCGAGCGTGCACTTTGAGCGAACGAGTATGTGTCTTGATGTGTGGCTTGCTTACAAAAAGGAGGCGCAGACGCAGACGCAGCGTTATTCGATATCCACCCTTTTCTTTGAGTGCTAGGTAAGTGTGGAAATGCTCATGAGAATTTAAAGAGTCATAAGCACTGGTGTGCTCGTACTAATACGACAAGGGCACAGGGCGTGCGGAAGGTTTGGGTTTTTGTTCTAGAATTCCGTTTTAGGCTTCTCCTCGCCACTCTTGATCGCCCGACGATATCATTGGGTATTACTTATTGGCAATGACCCGTTTGCCCGTCGTTGCGTCTCCCTACAAATATGTACCTAGTAGGTATTTGTGCTACTAGTAATAGAACTGATCGACGTAGAAATAGCCAGTATCTATCTACCTTCTGCGGTATTATGCCTCGTACATGTATGCCTATATATGTAAGGTCCAAAGTCCATCTATAGATACGTTGACTGCCTATTCGGTATCGCGATATGCCTATCAATCTATTATTTCTAATTTTTTGAAGTCGCCCTTCCCTGGATTTTGGTTTGTCGACGTTGAGAGAAACGAGAAACCCTACGTCGACCTTCTAACCCGTAGATAGAAATAGATAGAGGCCGGATCGGTGGATGTTGGTCCAAAAAGGGCCGTGAGACCATGCTCAGAATATGCCGAGTCTTCCATCCATTGTATTCACTGGAAACTCTCGACTCTCGACAATGGAGGAATCTATTCCCCTGGAACGGGATTCAATGTATCTGCCTTTCGTCTATGGGGGTTTCATGTCTCATCAGCTCATCATGCCTTCTATTGCTACAATGCTCGCGACAACAACAACAACAACAATGACAACGACGACATCGATGGCGCCAGCAGGAGGAACGGAAAAGAACGTCGACTCCAAGGTCGGTCCCCGCGTTGCGATAAAGATACTGTTCAAGCATGATCGGTCTTTTCCAGCATAGGTCCACTTACTTCTTCACGAGCAAACTTGTCCCGCTCATTTCTTCGGGTTGATCGAGCCCCATGGCCGCGAGAACTGTCGGTGCGACATCTCCAAGAACACCGTCCTGTTTCTTCAGGCTCCATCCTTCAGGTGCATTGGCCATGACGAAGGGAACTTTGTTGGTCGTGTGCGAAGTCTTGGGCTTGCCTTCTTCGTTCAACATTTCTTCCGCGTTGCCATGGTCGGCGGTTACGAAGAGGATATAGCCGTTCTTCTTGCACGCCTCATACACCGTGCCGATGGCGGCATCTGTGGCGGCCACTCCCTTGATCGCGGCTTCGTAGACGCCGGTGTGGCCAACCATGTCGGGTGGTGCGAAGTTGTTCATCAGGAAATCGTACTTTTGGTCCGCGATCCTCTCACTGAGCTTGTCTGCTACCTTTTGAGCACTCATAGGAGGGTCGAGATCATATGTTGCGACTTTCGGGCTGGGAATCAACTCTCGATCTTCGCCGTCAAACTGTTTCTCCACCCCACCGTTGAAGAAAAACGTCACGTGAGCATACTTCTCAGTCTCAGCGACGTGGCACTGTTTCAGGCCTTTTTTGCCCAGCCACTCGGCCAGGACATTGCCCATGTGCTGGGGTGGAAAGGCGATAGGGAAGGGGTAGTCGGTCTTATACTGCGTCATGGTGGTGATTTCGATCCCCTTGGGATATGGAAAGTCTGGCTTGGGGGATCGGTCGACATCGCCCAAAAGCTGGGTGATCTCTCGAACGCGGTCAGATCGATAGTTGAAGAAGAACAGGGTGTCATTGTCTTTGATCCTCCTCTCATCTCCGCCGACGATAATGGGCTTGAGGAACTCGTCATTCTCTCCTTTCTCGTATCGGGCTTTGATCGTGGCAACAGGGTCAGAGGATTCTTCTCCTTCGCCGAGCACAATGCCCTTCATTCCGATCTCCACCCGATCCCACCTCTTGTCTCGGTCCATGATATAGTATCGGCCCACCACCGTAGCCAGCTCCCCGATCCCGAGCTCTTTAAGCTTGTCCAGGAGTTGTTGCAAGTAACCCGCGGCGCTCTTGGGATCCGTGTCGCGACCGTCTCCGAAAAAGTGAATAAAGACTTTCGGAACCTTCATCTCTTTGGCGACTTGGAGCAGGGCGAACAAGTGGTTGATGTGACTGTGGACACCTCCGTCGCTGATGAGGCCGAGGAGGTGGAGTCGGCCGTTGCCATCAACTGCGTGCTTGAAGCACTTTTGGATGTTGGCAACCTTGTTCATTTCCCCCTTCTTGATAGTCTGATCAATCCTCACGACATCTTGCCAGACAACTCTGCCTGCGCCGATATTGAGATGCCCGACTTCAGAGTTTCCCATCAAGCCTTCCGGGAGACCAACTGCGAGGGAGGAAGCTTCAAGCTCGGTGTAGCCCTGTGCGGTTGTGGAACCATCTTTGGCAAATCCGTCCATGAAAGGGGTCTCTGCTGCAGCAATAGCATCGCCCTCTGGAGGGGAGCTCTCGGACGGAATGCCCCATCCATCAATGACAACTGACAAGGGAGGTTAGCAACTTTCGTATCGTAGCTGGGACAGCTCCGGAGTCCTACTCAAAACAGCCTTGTGCTCGACCTTCGTCATGATGTTGGAAGCTCGAGAAGCTCGAGAAGTTCGTCAACGGAAGTTGTCGGTGGTGGGAACTGCAATTCAATTGCAGAAGATGGTACAAATGCTGGTCAATAAGGTTCGACACGAGGTATAAAGTGAAAAAAAGATATGCAGATAATTTTTGTTGACTTGAGAAACGATGTGAATCGGAGGGGTTGAATTGGTCGACAATGACGCCGCTTTGCTCGGCCAAAGTCACCAGAGTTGTTGGTTTGGCGGGGCAGGAGACGAAGCTGGGCAAAAGTCAGGGGATGGAGGGGCACTCAACAGGGATCATGGCGACTCCTTTAGGCGCTTAAGCGAAGCAGTTGGGGAGCCCGAAGCGCCTGAGACTGCCGCACCCATAGGCCTACCTTCACAGTTGTTGGTGGGCATCAGCCACCAATATGTATCACTCGCTACGTCACCTTTGTCTGTGGCCACAGTTTCTTCACCTGCGCTGTTCGGTCTCCAATCCTTTCCTTTTACCACCTGTACCACCTGTACCACTTGTACGCTCATCGGCGATCGACACCATCTCCGCCCGTTCAGCCATTGTCCCTTCTTCCCGTAACTCACCCTCGCTCTCAGCATGGCATCGGCAGGTATCATACTTCTTCCGCTGGCAGACGATTCTGTATTGCAATGCTCGGCTGCACCATCAGACGTGCTCCTAGACTTTGCTAGGCATCAAAAGTGCCCTGGCGACCAAGCTCCAGCCCTCTCATGGTGGAAATCCGGCCTCAAGACTTGTACCCTAGAGCATGACACGTCAAGGTGTGTTCTGCCAGTTAAAAGGGATAAAAAAGAGGCAGAAACTTGCAGAGAACAAATCTCCCACATTGACTTTCTCTCCTCGCCACTTGGGTGCTCGAAGGAACGATCAGGACAGCACGCATCTTCTCAAGATCGTGCTTCTAGGGGCCCCTACGCTCCGCTGTTTGTCCATTCGCGGAGGATGACGCGGAAAAATTTCCCAGATACCTGCAATTGGCTTCAATCCTGCCAAACTATTCCGAGTCAAGAACCATGGTGGACCTCGACCGTTCCAGTCGCAGGCATCGTACGGTCTGATGTGCACATCAGACTTGCCATCCCGGAAACCTTTAATCATGAGCAGATACCGTCTTGCGTTATGGTGGTTGTACCTCACCCACCAACAGCACCAAACCGCCCTGTTCGCCTGAGAACTGCGGTGATCGTCTTTTTTAACGTCGCGGAGTTTGAACTATTTCAAAACCCACATGTGTCTCGATCTCAATCTCTCCCGACTTGACTTTGTTTGCAGTGAACAAAAGCGCCCCCCATTGTCAAGTCAGCGAGATTTTGCGGGTGTGACGGTCACAAAGGCGCTCACTGTATCACTTGATAAGAGCAGCAGCATCAAAATAGAAAAACTTCCTTCTCTACCTTCGACCTCTTCTGCATGCAGGGTTAACCTGACATCACAGGCTTTTCTGTGGCTGCAAGTTTTTGGACTTTGCGCACTTTGCGCACTTAGTGCTGTTGAAGTACGAAGAAGGGTTGCACCATGTCGGACTCCATGGGGAGTCCCGCTAGCCCATCCCTAAGTCGGCGTTGGCCAGAAAGTTCTCACACCAAATCACGCATCTCAAAGAAGACTACCAATACCAAAATGCGCACCTCGCACGCTTGTGATCGGTGCCGTTTGATGCGGACAAAGTGTTCGGGAGGTGACCGTTGTACCAAATGCATCAAAGACGACGCGAACTGCGTCTATGGCGATCGCAAGCGGGAGCGCAACAAAAAGTATTGTTTGCGTGCCTGGCTCTCCGGCATATGTTACTAACAGTACGCAGGGATCTCGCCGAGAGTCTAGATCGCATCAATTTACTGGAAGATGAGAATAGTCGGTTGGTCGGTGCTCTCCGTTCATTAACCGAGCGTCCAGACTTCCGTCCGGAGGAAAATGCCCATGTATTGCAGCTGTTGAATAAGGTAACTATTGATGTACTATGCGCACTTCCAGGCTGCTCGACCACTAAGACACTCGGCAGTATTCGGAGCAAGAGGGTGACGACGAAGAGCATGGGGTGGCCTCGAGCAACCAGTCGAAGAGCCGGGCCGGCCTTTCTGTCTCGCAGCGTCCGTCATCCTCGTCAAGTCCCGGTCGGTCGCGGCTAAACCACAGGTATGGTGAGACTAAGGCTGACTCGAGCGTGGGTTCTC